CATTATAGGATTGTGAAAAGATCTCAGGCATCAGTTTTATCTAATATAAACGCATATTCTGGATTTCTTGTGCAGCTGGTGACCTTGCACAAATCATTTCACTTCTCTGGGCCTCAGTTTTCCTACATGTAAATGAGAGTTATAGTATGTTTTCTCATGGGGTTGTTGAGAATGGTAAATGAAACTGTATCTAGGAATTGCCCAATAAGTTTTTAGCAAATCTTAGAGTTTAATTAAAAAAAAAATGATTTCTTCATTTTTCCCCACAATTCCAAATTTCTTTGAACCCTTCTGGGTTTGAAAATAATATTTTTTTCCCACCAACCGTGTAAAAGCATTGCTATTTCTCCACATCCTTTCCAGCACCTATTGTTTCCTGACTTTTTAACGATTGCCATTCTAACAGTTGTGAGATAATGGTTTTGATTTGCATTTCTCTAATGATCAGTGATGCTGAGCTTTTATTCATATGTTTGTTGGCCGTATTAATGTCTTCTTTTGAGAAGTGTCTGTTCATATCCTTTGCCCACTTTTTGATGTGGTTGTTTTTTTCTTGTAAATTCATTTAAGCTCCTTGTGGATTCTGGATATTAGCCCTCTGTCAGATGGATAGAATGCAAAAATGTTCTCTCATTCTGTAGGTTGCCTGTTCACTCTGACGATAGTTTCTTTTGCTGTGCAGAAGCTCTTTAGTTTAATTAGATGCCATTTGACTATTTTGGCTTTTGTTGCCATTGTTTTTGGTGTTTTAGTCATGAAGTCTTTGCCCATGCCTATGTCCTGAATGGTACTGCCTAGGTTTTCTTCTAGGCTTTTTATGGTTTTAGGTCTTACGTTTAAGTCTCTAATCCATCTTGAGCAATTTTTGTATAAGGTGTTGTAAGGAAGGGGTCCAGTTTCAGCTTTCTGCATATGGCTAGCCAGTTTTCCCAACACCATTTATTAAATAGGGAATCCTTTCCTCATTGCTTGTTTTTGTCAGGTTTATCAAAGATCAGATAGTTGTTGATGTGTGGTATTATTTCTGAGGCCTCTGCTCTGTTCCATTGGTCTATACATCTGTTTTGGTACCAGTACCATGCTGTTTTGGTTGCTGTAGCCTTGTAGTATACTTTGAAGTCAGGTAGCGTGATGCCTCTAGCTTTGTCCTTTTTGCTTAGGATTGTCTTAGCTATAAGGGCTCTTTTTTGGTTCCATATGAAGTTTAACGTAGTTTTCTCTAATTCTGTGAAGAAAGTCAATGGTAGCTTGATGGGGATAACACTGAATCTATAAATTACTTTGGGCAGTATGACCATTTTCATGATATTGATTCTTCCAATCCATGGGCATGGAGTGTTTTTTCATTTGTTTGTGTCCTCTCTTATTTCCTTGAGCAGTGGTTTGTAGTTCTCCTTGAAGAGGTCTTTCACATCCCTTGTAAGTTGTATTCCTATGTATTTTATTCTCTTTATAGCAATTGTGAATGGGAGTTCACTCATGATTTGGATATGTTTGTCTGTTATTGGTGTATAGGAATGCTTGTGATTTTTGCACATTGATTTTATATCCTGAGACTTTGCTAAAGTTGCTTATCAGCTTAAGGAGATTTCCGGCTGAGATGATGGGAGTTTCTGAATATACAATCATGTCATCTGCAAAGAGACAATTTGACTTCTTCTCTTCCTATTTAAATACCCTTTCTTTCTTTCTCTTGCCTGATTGCCCTGGCCAGAACTTTCAATACTGTGTTGCATAAAAGTGGTAAGAGAGGGCATCCTTGTCTTGTGCTGGTTTTCAAAAGGAATGCTTCCAGTTTTTGCCCATTCAGAAGGATATGAACAGACACGTCTCAAAAGAAGACATTTACGCAGCCAATAAACATATGAAAAAAAGCTCATCATCACTGGTCATTAGAGAAATGCAAATTAAAACCACAATGAGGTACCATCTCACGCCAGTTAGAATGGTGATCATTAAAAAGTCAGGAAACAATGGATGCCGGAGAAGATGTGAAGGAATAGGAATGTTTTCACACTGTTGCTGGGACTGTAAATCAGTTCAACCATTGTGGAAGACAGTGTGGCGATTCCTCAAGGATCTAGAGCTAGAAATACCATTTGACCCAGCAATCCCATTATTGGGTATATACCCAAAGGATTATAAATCATTCTACTATAAAGACACATCCACACGTATGTTTATTGCAGCACTATTCACAATAGCAAAGACTTGGAACCCATCAAATGCCCATCAATTATAGACTGGATAAAGAAAATGTGGCACATATACACCCTGGAATACTATGCAGCCATATAAAATGATGAGTTCATGTCCTTTGCAGAGACATGGATGAAACTGGAAACCATCATTTTCAGCCAACTAACACAAGAACAGAAAACCAAACATGCGTGCTCTCACTCATAAGTGGGAGTTGAACAATGAGAACACATGGACACAGGAAGGGAATATCACACACCAGGGTCTGTTGGGGAGTGGGGGGCTAGGGGAGGGACAGCATTAGGAGAAATACCTAATGTAGATGATGGGTTGAGGGGTGCAGCAAACCACCATGGCACATGTATACCCATGTAACCTGCATGTTCTGCACATACATTGCAGAACTTAAAGTACAAAAAAAAAAAGAAAAGAAAAAAAAACGGGGGGAAAAAAAGACAACAGTATTTTTTTTAATGTGGAGATATTATTGGGTATCTTCCATTCCCAGAAACAGAGCCTTGCAATAAATATATGAGGACATATAAAAAGGAGACAGTATGGGGAGCAGGGCCAAGGACCACTGGTCCTCATTCATTCTAGTCCCTACTCCTGAGGCAGGAGTAAGAAGTCCCATTTTTAATTATTTTTAGAAGTTTTTCTTCAGTGGATAGAAAGTCTATGAAGTAAATTTGAGCTCAATGTAAAGACCTTCAAAGACAATGATAAATCTCTGACAGTAGGAAAGAGTGTTAGTAAATAGCAGATCTTTAGTACCACTGTGAGATTTGAGATACTAAAGCAAATAACAAATATATATTTAACAACATATAAACTTATGAAATATATACTGCTTTTACATGAATTGACTTATAAAATCCTCACAATAGCTCTATGAATTGATATCTGTATCTCCCATTTTACAGATTAGGCCCACAGTATTTAAGTGACTGGATCAAATATCACTTGATGACCAACTTTGGGGAATATTGTAGAGTGATATTATAGGTAGTATATAACATGAATAAGTCATTTAATTTTTATAACAACTCCACATATGATTAAAACTATACAGGGATATTCTAGAATGTAGACTAGGTGGGATATATAGCTAGACAACAACCAGGAGAGCCCTTTCAGTCCCAGAATTCTACGATCCCAATTTCTAGAGCTAGCATCTGTTCTCAAATGGACTTTGACTTTGAAATACCTTAGGTATTTCTCCAATACCTTAGGTAGTGTCATTAATGCTTCTTTCTAGTTAACTGACATCAATCCAACGACAAAACAGCTAGACATCAAAGTCTTTTCTATACTGAATTTATTGATGCTTGCTATGCACCAGGCAAAATGCTAAGTACATAACATGAATCTGTCATTTAAAGTTCTCATAATGACTTCAAAGGACGGGTACTGTTAGTATTGCTGTCTTTCATATGGAGAAACCAAAGCACACAGAACTGGAATAGCTTGCTGAAGTTTGCACAATTAGAAAAGACAGAGATGAGATTCAAAACCAGATCTCTTTAGTTTCAGAATGTGCTCCCCTAATCACTATGCCAGATGGTATTATACATAGTGTTATAACTCATTGTATAAGATACATTTTATAGATATAACAATAATAAAACTCTCAACAGAGGGCACATATATATGAATCAATACTGGTGGCATGATTAGCACATTTTAAATTGACTTTTTACATGGTTTTTATCTGAGACTAATACTGTATTTTTCATTTAACTGAAGGCTTCATCTTTTGTGGCATTTAGAATTATTAGCACATGACATTTTAATAATAAACACATCAAATCAAAGCTGATACCATTCTGAAACACGTTAAAGTATTCTAAGCCTGAAATGAAAAAACTTTTTTGCTTTTTTCTTTGAAGTCCACTAGCTTACTGTAGAATCAAAATTGAACTAACTTACTTTAGTCTTGACTCACCTCATCCTCAATTAGCGATATAAAACATATGATTCATTTGTTGTAAAAATAATTTACAAATGAAAATGTGGCAAACTTTTATGCAGAATATTTAGTATATCACGTGACAATTTAGATTTTTACTACGGATTCTTGAGAAAGGGGGTAGACAGAAAAAAGAGAAAGACATTTCTGGGATAAGAAAGAGAAACAGAAATATAGAGATAACCCAAGGGAAAGACTGAGGGAAACACCAGTGAGCAAAATACAAAAAGTACAAACATCTCCAATACACAGATGCCTTAGAAAAAAGATACTGAAATATGACATGCAATTGGCATATAATAAATGATTAATGAATGAGAGAGTAAATCTAAGACATGAATTTTCATTACGTATATCCTCATTTTTTGACTTTCTACTCTTTCAAAGTTGTGTGGTACTGTCACCACCCTCGGCATCATGTATTGGCATGCGGTAGTAGACCAGAGGAAATTAAAGAGAGGTTGGTTCATTTTCATTCAAAATGAACACAATCAAGTCACTCTCATAAGTCATGAGGTAAATTTACAAAGGTGTTGGAAATGATCAGTTAGAACCTCTTAATAAGTAATTGATCTTTAAATTGGATACTAAATAGAATTATAACTCATTAGTTTTGCTGTTCATTTTTGCCACAGAAACATTTTGTTCTTTGACCTTCATTCACCACAGGAACACACGTTTTCAATTTTAAATTCATATCATAAAGACACAAAAACTAGATATCTGTGTACTTTAAATCCATTCAAGAGCTTTTACTCTTCAACATTAATCAAATTAAATGAACTGCATTTGCTATAGCTGGTGTTCACCAGACCTCAAGATGCCTCAGTACCTGCTGTCTCTCCAGACGCATCCTCTTGGCGGCATTTCTACTCTCACTCTCACAAGCTGAAGCCAAGATACTCTCTGCAACTGCTGAAGTAAGGTGGGAAGGAATAGGTCGAGACTAAAAAAAAACAAAAAAAGAGAAAAGTATGAAAAAAATTATTAACAGTATCATTAACAGGCCAATGCTATTCTCAGAAGAGCTCTCAGGATCATCAACACGTGCAGGAGTATCCATTTATTTCAACTGAACTTATTTCAATAGAAAGAGGAAATGGAAATTGTAAAGATGAAAAATGAAAGCTAGTTAGAGATTAAAGCTATCGTTGCTACACAGATCCATCATTCATTCCCATAGATCCACTGTCACAAGTATCTAGCCTGGGCCATGAAGCTGGAGTTTGAACAGGCAGTGGCAAAACTGCTAACTGGATTTTGCAAATAAAACAAGGTCTTTAATTCTACTATAACATATGACATGCACAAAAAAACGAAACAAAAACAAGTGACAGGGCTGAAACAGAGTTTAAAAAAACCTAATAGACACTCAGACCATGTCAAACAATCTTAATATGAAATATTATGAATATTTACACTCTCAATTGTGACCCAATTGATGTGATTAAAATGCTTTTAAATATAAATAAAAACTAAAAAGTCAGCCCTACAATGATTTTAATATATTAAAGGTTTAGTGCTTTAGATATTAGATATGTTTGCCTATGTGTACATACATGTTTTGTTTTACTTATAAAATATGAGCTGATATTTCATAGATACATGTTGAAAACCATCTTCTATGTAGCCCATATAGAAAGTAATTAATTCTTCAACTAATTTCATAATTAACTGTAAATTGTTTGCAGCTCTCAATATCATTTGTGATAACCATAACAAATATTATGATTTTCATTCTTTTTTCCATAATTACATGCAAAGTCATCCAACTGAAAGATGAAATACTTAATGATATAGAACAGTTTTTTAAATTAAGATAAGCAAATGATAGATAAGAAATAACAAAACTAAACCAAATGAGGTAGTAAAATAATGTGAAATTGTGAAATTATGAAATAAATATATCTTTTGGGAATATAGCATACATAGTATATGCTACTTTAGGGTTTTCAGAGCCTCAGACTAAAATATGTGTGAATGCTATTTATTAGAAGCCTGAACTAATTGAGACCTTTTGAATTTTTTCCTAAAGTAATTGAAACATGGCTTTTTTATACATGACTCATTTTACCAACTCTGGTATGTACAGCGTGTCTCAGCAAACTGAACACAGGGCTTACATCTAAAATAATATTCTAGAACAGCTAAATTCAGACCACACCATTTTAACAGACACTCCATAGTTAAATTTGTACAGTGTAGACAGAGTCCAGGCTCTGACCTTGGGTGAACTAGGAAGCAATTTCTGCAACTGCCTTAGCAGACTTCCTCACTACTTCCCCTCCAAAGTAGCCTCTGGAGGCAAAAGGTAGGAAAGGTATAGAGTACATTCTCCTCTGCTAACCCCATGGGACATCTCAAATGATGGTTATACAACTTTGACAATAAAGCAGTAGGATATTTGGAATGTTATTTTTACAAAAAAGAAGAAAAGAGGTCCATTTGTGGCAGGAAAATAATGCAATGTCAGCATTTTGAGAAGGAAATTAGAAAGCCAGGACTGTGCATTTGTAATAGAAAAGATGGTCAAATGAGGCAAACCTAAAATAAATTGTCATAAAGATGTAAGCATAATTTCAAAACTCACATTGCTTCTTCGTTTCATTCTCTACTTCACTGAGTATAAATAAAATATTGTAGTCCAAAGCCAAATAAATTAAGCTATAAAATCAGTCTCACTAAACAATGGTCACTCCCTGGCTCAAAAATGTAATCCAACTACATGGGAATTAGATACTCACTGATGCCTTTCTTGATTGAGCTAATTTTTGAGGAAAAGGTGTTATAGGAAAAATGGGAATAAGAACATTACATTATCAAAAAATAAAACAAATTATTTGATTGTAGTTAGCACTATTCAAATAGGAGCGAGAGTTTATACCTTTATAAACTATATTATTAGATCATTTGTTTCCATGGATGAAATTAAGGCAATCTAAATAAAATGTCAGCAACCTTCCTTTTCTTAATCCAATTATTGAGATCCACATGGGATTCAGAAGACATATTTCAGTTCTTCATTACCTCGATTTTTCTCTTTTTTTTTTTTGCTAACACCATTAAAAATTAGGAATATATAAAGCTATAGAATTTTAATAAATTATGTTGTATCAATAGGCACACAAGTAACTTAAATGCATAAAAGTTTGTTTAATAGGGAGAACATAATTATCCCTTCAATTAAAATTATTTCATAGCATTTTCTTTCAAATTCTTAATAATTTTTAAAAACAACTCTTACTACTCAACTTCTACTAAAGCAGTAAAAGTTGTTATGTCTAGTAATTTATGTAATTTCCTTTACAGAAAAGATGATAGGGAGAATTAGATCTTCCCTAGATGTGTGAAATCAGTTTTCTCAAAAACTAGAGTAATGTCCTGGCTAGATACATTTTAAGGTCATGTGATAACCTAATATTTAAAAATCAACTTCAAGATAAAGCAACCATGTACACACTATCCTATTGAGTGGAAAAAATAAGTAGAATCAAAGATGCATGATTCAATACTTCCCACAGATAAATAGTATAATTTTGAAAACAGATTTGTACTGAGTTTATTGTAGGATCATAAATTAACAACTCTCAATGGCCATAAAAGTCATCCAGTACAAGTTTCTTCTCAACTTTGAAGAACTGAAATGTAGGCAGATTAAGTAATTGCAAAAGGACAAACTGAACTAGATACAGAACTCAGGTTTCATGGCTCCCAATTTTCAACTCTCACTTTCCTAAATTCTGTTCTATATTTAGTACTTTTACATACTTTGTCATTAATAAAACAAAAAATTCTTTTAAAAATCCTTATATACAAACCATTGTTTTCAACTAAAAAAATAAGCAGAACAAAGGTAGCCATTTACATGAATGCATTATAATCATCCTTAACTCAAGCTCTTTGGAGAAAAAGGCAGAATAAATCATGAAATCTGTATTACAATCTAAAAATTATATTTGAAATGTATTTTTGCAGAGAATGTACTATATCTCAATAATGTGTACCTCCAAATAGAAATCCAGTACCATTATAATTTAATTTTTAGATAAATGTTAATAATATCTAACTCCTATTGAGGGCTTAGGACATTCAGCTATTAATACCAAAAGCTGAGATTTATTATCAAATTTAATCTCCTAAACACTCTTTGAGAAAAGTACTTATATTACTCATATTTTAGATAAACTACATTGAAGTTCTGAGAGATTATGCAACTTGCTCACAAGTATGCAGTGATGTATGTGGAAATACCTGAATTCAAATCTAAGTCTGATGATGAATTGTGAGTTATAATCCCTAGTAAACTACTATTCACATTTTACAACAAAGTCCCCAGTGAGTTTAAATAAATCTATAATTCTTAAATACTACATATTCCTGTAAGGGAATTCAATCACAGCTAACCACACATGGCATTTAGCAAAGAATATATCAGGATCTCCCTAGCATCCTTCACTTAAATGGTTGAAGTTCTTTAATATGTTGTCCTATAAATTCTATAAATTACAAAATGTACAATCTTCATTAATAGCACAAAGACAAAAATGTAACTTATCTAAGTTATGTCACAAATTCTTAACTGATTGAATTTGAATTCATATGATTGTAATGTTTATACAGCCAGAAGTGTCAATAATGCTATACATGAACCATAATAAAGCTTAATTTCATGCCCAAAATGAGAATACAGGAGCCAGGCAGAGAAGTTCTTTCCCTCATGTGAGGTAATCATGCTAAAAATCTCTTTGCTTCTGATATTAATGAGTCAATAATAAATGCCAATACTCTCCAATACACACAGGCTCAAGTGTGCAGCATTTGGTTATAAGATATTAAAGATGAAAGTTTAAAAAAATTTCTCTATAATTTGGCTTCTATCCACTTAACAACTCAAAAGTACTAATATCAAGACAGTGAGAAGGAAATTAATCAATTTTTCTCCTTATAAAAGGAATTATGTTACAGAGAAATTAAAAACTGTGTTTAGTATGTGCTCTGAGAATCATCTCCTGCTGAACTCTCCTTTCCATCATTACATTTGACAGCTGAGGGCTTATTCTAATGTCATCACAGTATTGTCTTTCTAAAACATAATTAGCAGCATGTTAGGGGATATGGTCATACATTTCACCAGGAATGAGACTGAAAATTCCCTCTTACATTTGTAAAAGTGGCCATAAAACACAAAGCTTCCATGTAATAATTGGGGATAGGAATATTTTGATGCAAAGACCAAATGCAATTAATTCAATAGATAACTTATGAAAATAACACCTCTTCTGGCTGAAGATAGCTCAGTAAATACATATACTATTTGATATCTATCTCTCTATCTATCTTAGAATATTTAAAATACTAGTTAACAATGGATATAATTATACACTTTACATGATCTATACCTGGATTGGGAATATTACATGTTTGTATGTACATATTACATACATTACTTCCCTGTATATAACATAATGGTACCTACCCTCATTAATTATCTCTTCATAATTAACTGACATTCTAACTGGGATCTGAGTTGATCTTTCTCTAGCACTGTTCTTATTGTAATAATTATCTATGCTCAAATCAATGGCAGTTGTGTCATTAAACAGATGGCTAAACCGTCACATGGAGATTTTGGAGTTTAAAAAGTCACATTTTAATTGGGGACTTAAGATGTAATTGCTGTTGGCACGATGTAACTGTGTCTTTTCTTATATATGTTGGTAAAATGTACCGTCACACCAACAAACCATTCCATTTTTGTGGGTCTTAAAACTCTACATGAAATAACTTTTAGAGTTCTCTGAACTTCAGCTGTACATTTAGGATGCCACAGGATTTTTGCAATTATAAAAAAGTACAAAGAAATTTAAGAATGTTAGGTTTTGGTCATGGGTTAATGTGGTGATGCTCTCACACTCCACAGTTTAAGTGAAGCTTAATCAAGTTATT